CACTTCCTGGCGGCCGCCACCGAGACCCCTGTGCTCAGCTTGCTGCGGCGGGAGGCGCGCGCGCCCCTTGGCGCCCCGGTACGCTCGGGACCTGCGGGGGCGGGAGCCCGGGACGCCCGGGAGTCCAGAGGCGGCAGACCCCGCGGCAGCCCCAATCCAGATGCGGGAGCCCCCGGAGCGCACGGGCGGGACCCTTGGACCTCGGATGCGCAAGACCCCTGGACGGCCCCTTGGGGGCCCAGAACTCCCGTGCACAGCCCTTCCCGGGGCCTTGAGGACAGAGAAGCGCCACCACCGCGGCCCCTGCCCCTTCGACCCCAGGGCCCCCACCCCGCCCGCCCCCCACTCCCATCGCGCACAGCCTCCTCTGGGATCCAGACGGCGGGACCAAGCGCTCTGAGCGCTCATCCCTCGGGGCGCCTCCTGGTTTGCCCCAGGGCGGCGGGGATAGGAAGGCGAAGCGGGTCTCCCTTCTGGCGGAGGCGTGCAATTCTAGCACCCAGGATCCTCCCAGAGGCCCTCCCCGACCTCACAGCCTCCTGCGTGTCCTCGGGTCCCCACCTTGTCATTCCAACCCCCTCCCGTCCTTCTCCACCCCTTCTCATCCTTGGAGCTCTCTCTCGATCCTACCCAGGTCCTTGTTCAGGAGAAAACGGGACAAAGAGGGAAAAGGCGGCTTTGGCAGGGCTGTGGGGACCTCGTTGTGTCCCCTTGGGAAAAACTCCCTAGGGCCAATAGGGAGGGGCCCCGACGCGGGGACATGGGGGCCTGGGCGGGGCACCTGGACAAGGAGGCGGCTGTGGGTAGGGGCGGTCCTCAACGTTCCTGCCACTTTCAAACTTCCCAATTCCAACTTGGGGTCCTCTTCAGGACTTCTTTGTCCTCAGGGGTGGGAGACTCTGACCCTAGAGAAGACCCAGAGGCTCATAAACCTCCCGGTGCCACTCGGGACCCCTATCCCCATAACCGGCCCGGGCTTGGTGGGCGAGGTTGTAGAACTCAAAAACCACGCCTGTGGCGCCCTCTGCTGCCGCCTCCAGGAAGTGCGCCTCTGCTGGCCTGGGGACGGCCTGCTGGGAGGGCCCTCGGGCTGGGACCTCCTGGCTGCCCTGGTCTCGCCGGCTCTTTGCTTGCCCCCGACCCCCACCCCGGCCAGTCCCCCAGCACTCGGTGCCCTGCCCCCACCCAAGCAACATCCTGCGCCCGTAGGTGTTGGGAAAGCTTTCTCTTCCTTCACACGCTAAGAGCAAATCCAGAACTGTCTGGATGCCATCAGGCACAGCGAAGGCCCTCGCCGGAGGCCCTTGGCTTGCCTGGGACAGGGGCGGTGATAAGTCAAGAGGAGGCAGGCTGGCTTGGCTCCAAGCACGAAGGTGTCTTCATAAGGGTCCTGCAGGTGGCCTGGCCCTGAGGGGCTCCCAGGGGTAGGAGTGGGGTGAGGTCAGGACTGGAGTGGAGGGAGGGACTTGGGGCTGGGGGAGTCCTAGAAGGCGAGTGGGGGGTTCCGCCTGGGAGATGGGGAACTCTGAATAGAGAAGGAGCGACGGAGTTGGGTTTTGAAGGATATGTAGGAGTTGTCTGGCAGAAAGGGAGAAGGATATTCCAACTAGGGAACAGTGTAAACAAAAAATCTCAAAGTGGGGTGCTACAGGGTGGCTGGAGCCAAGAAGCAGACCCTGAACGTGAGGCTGAGCATTGTGATGGAGGTAATGGGGAGCCACAGAAGGCTTTAGAGCAGGGGTGGGTGAGGTCCAATCTTCAAGTTGACATCTGTTACTGAGCACCTCCTGACGGGTGTGGGAAGAGGTGTGTGTGTCAGGACCCTAACTGTGGCTGCCCCCTCCCCAGAGCCCCTTCCACCTGCAGCTGGACTGGGCCGGCCCCCTGGAGACACGGTGGATGTACTCTTGTCTGCTGCAGGCACATGCCTGGGAGGACGTCGGCCTGATGCTCTGCCGCGTCCAGGACCCCGGTGGCCTGGTGGCCCTCTGGACATGCCGGGCCGGCTGGGCCCCACAACTCATGCTGGACTTGAGCCGGCCAGACACTGGTGACGCGGGGCTGCAGGCACGCCTGGCCCCGCTAGAGGCGCTGGCGGGGGCTGAGGCCCTGGTGACCACGGCCATGCTTCTGGGCTGTGATGCAGCCCTTGCCCGGCAAGTGCTGGCGGCCGTGCCCCTGGGGCCCCGAAGGCTGCTGGGCACGCCACTGCCCGCCGAGGCGCTGCCCACTGAGGGCCTGCCACCTGGGCTGCTGGCACAGGGTGAGGTGGACCGACCCCCACTGGAGACTGCCGTCCAGGATGCCGTGGAGCTGGTGGCAAGGGCACTGGGCAGTGTGGCCCGTGTGCAGCCTGAGCGTGCCCTCCTCCCCACCGCAGTCAACCACAGTGACCTGCGGCCTGCTGGGCCTGAGTCCTCGGGCCGCTTCCTGGCACGGTAAGTGGGGATCCTGCTGCGGAAGGCTGTCTGTCCAGGCCCCTGGCGGGGTGTGACCCTCTGCCTGTGGGGCACCAAAGGCACCATTATTGTGCACTTGCTGTATGCCAGACACTGTGTCCAGTCCTTCCAAGTTGGTGATTTTGTCCCTTTCTTAGGTGGGGTCCCGAGAAGGGGATTCAGGAGACAGAATTTATTGGGGTGCTTAGGGAGAAGGGAAGTGGAATGGGGAGGGAAGGAGCTGAGGCGGCCTTAGCCTGATCCCACGGGAGCCCTGAAGTGTGAACTGCACCCGGGAGTTAGCTCCACCGTGGCTCCGGGAGCCAGATTTCGTTCCCCCATATCTGTCAGTCACTGGCTTCAGTCCACCCCCAGGGAGGGGCTGTAAAACAGCGGGCGTCCATGTGAGGCAGCTCCGTCTTTCCAAAGGCCAATCTCCAGAGCAGGGAGCAGCCGCCAGCCGCCTGCAGCCACAGGCGGGGATGATCTGGGCCACAGTGCCCACTACAGTCCACCCCTTACACAGCTCAGCCCCATGGCTTCTCCCACGTAGCTTGTTCCATCTGAGCGCTGCTTCTCCGAGATTCCAAAGTGACAGCTGCACTCAGTACAAGCCTCAGGGCAGGTGCCCAGAAGCAGGGCCTGAGAGCAGGGTCCCGTGTGCGGCTTTATGGATGGAAAACCCAGGAGAAGGCAGGGAGGGCTATGGGGTGGGTCAGGGGGCAGAGCTGACCCCACCAGAGCTCTGGAGCATGATCAGCACTCAGGGGCGATCGATCCCACCTGATTGTGAGCAATAGCATAAGTCAGGGGGTGGGGGATGTAGCCATAGCATCTGGGCTGATAAATGGGACCGGGGTGTCACCAACAGTGTCCCCTACTGTCCCCCTTGTAGAGACAAGGATGGAGATGGTCAGAGAGACTAAGGCAGGTGGAGACGAGGGTCTGAGCCTGGCTGGGGGGCTCCTGCTGCCAGCCGCCTGATGCTCACCCCGCCCACCCCTGCCATCCAGGTTCCTGGCCAACACATCCTTCCAGGGCCGCACGGGGCCAGTGTGGGTGACCAGCATGTCCCAAGTACACATGTTGCACAGCTTCAAGGTGTGGAGCCTCCGCCAGGACCCGCTGGGCACCCCGGCCTGGGCTACGGTGGGCAGGTGGCGCAACGGGCAGCTGGAGCCGGAGCCGGGGGGCGCTGCCATGAGGCCCCCACCCCCGCCGGCTGCCCAGTCCCGGGCGAAGCTGCGTGTGGTGACGCTGGCGGAGCACCCTTTTGTGTTTGCCCGTGAGTCGGACGAGGACGGCCAGTGCCCGGCGGGTCACCTGTGTCTGGCGCCCAGCACCAACGACTCAGCTGCGGTGGATGCGCAGTTTGCCGCGCTGGCCAACGGCTCGGGGCCCCGTGCCCTGCGTAAGTGTTGCTACGGCTACTGCATCGACCTACTGCAGCGGCTGGCAGAGGACACGCCCTTCGACTCCGAGCTGTACATCGTGGGTGACGGCAAGTACGCTGCCCTGCGTGATGGCCGCTGGACCGGCCTGGTGGGGAGCCTGCTGGCTGGCAAGGCCCACATGGCGGTCACCAGCTTCAGCATCAACTCGGCCCGCTGTCGCGTGGTGGACTTCACCAGCCCCTTCTTCTCCACCAGCCTGGGCATCATGGTGCGCGCGCGTGACACCGCCTCGCCCATCAGCGCCTTCATGTGGCCGCTGCACTGGTCCATGTGGGTGAGCGTCTTCGCCGCGCTGCACCTCATGGCGCTCTTCCTCACACTCTACGAGTGGCGCAGCCCCTATGGCCTCACGCCCCGCGGCCGCAACCGCAGCATTGTCTTCTCCTGCTCCTCAGCCCTCAACCTCTTTGGACGTATCGTGTCCAGCGAGACCCCCAAGAGCCCCACGGGGCGTTTCCTCGTGAACCTGTGGGCCATCTTCTGCCTGCTCGTGCTGTCCAGCTACACAGCCAACCTGGCCGCCGTCCTGGTCGGGGACAAGACCTTCGAGGAGCTGTCGGGGATCCACGACCCCAAGGTGGGGTGCTGTGCGGCTGGGGTGGGGGGCGCTGGGGGTCTCAAAGCTGGGAGGGTGGACACTCACCCCCCCAACCCCATCCTGAACCAGGAACCCCACTGCATGCAGTTGTCTGCTTGGGACCCCTGCAGACATTTATTGAGCATATAGTGTGTGCAAGCAGCCCTGGTGGTGCAACAGTGAAGCGCTCGGCTGTTAACCAAAAGGTCAGCCGTTCAAACCCACCAGCTGCTCCTCAGGAGAAAAAACCTGACCATCTGTTTCTGTAAAGACTGCAGCCTTAGAAACCCTATGAGGCAGTTCTGCTCTGTCACGTGGGGTCGCTGTGAGTCAAAATTGACTCAGTGGCAATGGGGTCGGGTTTTTTGTTTGTTTTTGTTTTTTAAGTCTCTGTCAGGAGTCCCTGGGTGGTGCAAATGGTTAAAGTGCTCCGCTGCTAACTGAAAGGTTGGCGGTTCAAGTCCACCCAGAGGCACTGCACAAGAAAGGCCTGACAATCTACTTCTGGAAACCCAGCCATTGAAAATCCTATGGAGCACAGTTCTACTCTGACACACATGGGTTGGTTGAGTGTGTACCAGGCGCTGGGGACAAAGCAGGCGAAGATTCCTGCCCCCAGAGCTGACAAGAATCAAGATAAATAAGGAAGAGTTATCGTGTGAGGAGGTGATGGAAGGTTAGAGAAAAAGAAGCGTGGGGAAATGGCAGTGCTGAACAGGAGGGGGCATTTTCCCAAGTGGGGGGTCAGGGAAGGCCTCTGCGAGGGGGTGACATGTGAGGGAGCTTTAAATGTATATCAGGGAAGAGTGTTGCAGGTGGAGGGAACAGCAGATGCAAAGGCACTGAGGCAGGATCCTACCAGGGGGGTTGAGGGAACAGCAAGGAGGCCCGTGTGGCTGGAGTGAGCGAGCAGGGGGAGAGAGGAGGGGAACGCAGGGAGGGGACGGGGCAGGTCGTGCAGAGCCCTGTGGGTGGGGAGGACTCTGGCTTTACCCAAGGGACTTGGGAGCCCTGGAGTGTGGCTGGCAGAGCAGGGACGAGCGACTCGGTGCTCACGTTCGCCCTCTGGCGGCCGCCGGGAGGACAGCCCATGGGTGCTGGCAGAGGAGGGACGGGTGTACATATTTTTCTTTTTTAATGAAAATTTTAGAACACTCCACAGTAGGAAGCTAGGGATTTCCGTGAACCCATCTCTCAGCTGCAGAATCGGCTCCCAGCCCGTTTCGCCCACACCGTTCCCCGTCCTCTGCAACCACGGGATTATTTTGAAGCAAATCTCAGACTTTGTATCATTTCACTGTAAATATTTCAGGAACCTTAACAACCGGGGTAACAATTCCCCCCGTTGTCTTAAATTTTTTCCCCAGTTTATTTGCAACTGGACCTTGTAGGGTTCAGACATTGCATATGGTTGAAATCTGTTAGGTCTCTTTTAACGTCTCGGATCTCTTATTTTCCTTTTTCTTTACTTATTTATTCATCTGTTTATTTTCACATTGCATTTATTTGTTGAAGACATTGGAGTGTTTGCCAATAGTGATTCCTGCCGTTTGGAGCTGGCTGGTTGAGTCCCTGAGGGGTGTTCCCTCTACACCGGTAATAAAATCTAGACACCCTGTCGTCTGATAGGGGGGCCACTCAACACATGTGGGGACTTAAGTTTATATGAGTTAATTAGAATTAAGTTAAACATTCAGATCCCCAGTTGCTATGAAACGATTAATAGCGGCGTGTGGTTGGTGGCTGCTGAACTGGGCATTGTTACCATCCTCCGTAAAGTTCTGTGGGACGGCGCTGCTTTAGAAGGGACTTCTGGGTGGTGCTGTGGTCCCGGTGGTCAGCTGTGGGATGACTTTAACAGAGAATGCATTCATTCATTCACTAGGGGTTTGCACAGTGTTCCCCTGGCTGCTGCGAGGAGGGGACCAGAGCAGAGGCAACCGCGCTGGGCCAGGGGGGCTGATGGGGCAGGCGGGCTGGGGGCGCATTCGAGTGTGTTCTGAAGGCCGAGTCCTCAGGGTTTGCGGATGGACGGCATTTGGGGATGACAGAGAGACAGGACAGAGCTGCTCCTGACCCCTGACGAGGTGGAAGTTGCGGGAGGCAGATGGGGATGGGACCCTGAGGGTCTAGGACGAGGAGGCAGTGGGATACAGTCTGGAGTCCAGGGTGAGGTCGGGGGGTGTTGGGAACTCAGGTGGAGTTCAGAGCAGGGGTTCTCACCTGGGCGATTCTGTCCCAGGAGACACTGGGCAATGTCTGGGGACATTTGTGGCTGTCATGACTGGGGGAGGGGGTACTACTGGTATCGAGTGGGTGGAGGCCAGGGATGCTGCTCAAACCCTACAGTGCACAGGACGGCTCCACCCCAGAGAATGATCAGGCCTCATGTCAGAGGTGCTGGGTGGGACCCTGGTTTGGACGGTGGCCTGGGCGGTCCCAGCTGTGAGGTGCAAGGTCGGAGGGCGAGGGGCAGGCTGGCTGGCTGACTGAGCTCCCCCCACTGCAGCTGCACCGCCCGCCGCCAGGCTTCCGCGTGGGCACCGTGCGGGACAGCAGCGCCGAGGCCTACATCAAGAAGAGCTTCCCCGAGATGCATGCGCACAGGCGCCGCCGCAGCGCGCCTACCACGCCCGAAGGCGTAGCCATGCTCGCGTGAGGGTGGGGGCAGGGATGGGGCGGGGCTGCGGTAGGCCCGGCTAGCGCTGACCTCGCCCCCAACCCCCCCTCACCCTCCGCAGGAGCGACCCCCCCAAACTCAACGCCTTTATCATGGACAAGTCCCTCCTGGACTACGAGGTCTCCATCGACGCCAACTGCAAACTGCTGACTGTGGGCAAGCCGTTGGTCATCGAAGGTGAGGGAGGCCCCTCCCGGGCATCGGGGCTTGGGGGAGTTGGGGTTAAGTCAAGGCCTTAACGGCCAACGCGTTCTGGGGGCACTGGGGAGCCATGGATGGTCGGCCAAGCTGGGTCAGAGGAAGGGCCGTGTGGGCAGAGTCCCTCTGGGGTTACGCCCCAGCCCGGCCCCACCCGATTCCGGCCTCCCCCAGGCTACGGCATCGGGCTGCTCCGGAACTCACCGCTCGCCTCCAACCTGTCCGAGTTCATCAGCCGCTACAAGTCCTCGGGCTTCATGGACCTGCTGCATGACAAGTGGTACAAGATGGTGCCTTGTGGAAAGCAAGTCTTCGCTGTCACGGAGGTGGAGAAGGGCCCAGGACACGGGCAAGGGTGGGCGAAGGGGGCACTGCGCCTGCTTGGCCAAGTCTCTGCTCATTCCCAAGATGCACATATGTGTCTTTGCATCCTCCTATCCAAACTACAAAACCCCAGCTCCAGTGTCCCCTCCTCCATGAAACTTTCTATAATCGCCTCCATCCCCAGCCACGGGGTCCTTGCTTCCCAGCCCAGCTCCCAAGCCTGGGGCCCCACCTAGGAGGCTGCCGTGACCTCGAAGGCCGATGCCTTGTCTGTCCACAGACCCTCCAGATGAGTATCTACCACTTCTCTGGCCTGTTCGTGTTGCTCTGCATGGGCCTGGGCAGCGCCCTGCTCAGCTCGCTGGGCGAGCACATCTTCTATCGCCTGGTGCTGCCGTGAGTACGCAGGGGCAACAAGCTGCAGTGCTGGCTGCACACGAGACGGGTAGGGCGGCAGGCAGGGCGCCGGGCAGGCTTAAGGGCGGCGGGCGGGCCGCCTCCCTCCCGACCCAAGCCCCAACCCAGTCTGTCTGGGCTCTTAGAAAATCCACCCGGCCCTCAACACCAAGACTCCCGAAGGCCGGAAGGGAGAGAAGCGCAAGCCGGAGTCCAGGTAAGGGGTGGGGCCCAGGGAAGCCCCGCCCCCCGCAGACGCGGACCTTGATGGCGCGGAGAGGGAGTGACCCAGCCCGTGCTAGTCGCCTTGGGTGGGCCCCGCTCACCACCCCACCAGCTCCAGCCCCCTTAGTACTGAAGGAGACCGTGCGACGCGGGAGAGGTTACTTTATACACTTAGCTCGCTCCTGACAATCCCTAGCTCTATGCCACCAGTGGCGGCCTCCAGGACCCTTCCCCGAGCAAGGCGCAGAAAGGGCACGGCTGCCCCGGCCCTGAGGCGGCTCTGGGTTGGGTCCAGGTGCCGGGGAGGGTCAGGGCGGACCCGGCCGCACCTTGGCCCCAGCCGCAGCCTCGTTCCCAGGGGACCCGCGGAGCCTCAGGAGCAGGAGGCAGCGGCGCCCGCGCCGGACCTGGGCGGCTGGAGGCCGGTGCGCCGCGCCGTGAAGACAGAGCAGCGCCGTGTGCGCTTCCTGTCGGAGCCCGTAGCCGCGGACGCAGAGGCGGACGCCGGGTCGCCCGAGGGCCCCGTGTGGCTCTGCTCCAAGGGCCGCGCGCCCGTCTCACCACCCGCGGGCGCCCCGGGCCCCGGCGAGCTGGCGGCGCTGGAGGCACACATCGCGGGCATGCGCGAACGGTTGCGCCATGCGCCGGTGCGGCGCGGCGAGCTCCTGGCCCAGCTTGGTGACAACGCCCGCGCCGACCCTGAGGAGGGCCCGTGACAGTCCAGCCTGGCCCGCGAGAACCTCCGTCCAGGACACACACGGACGCGGCGCTGTCAACAGCCGGTTTATTCTATATACAAACACCATTTTGTACACTGCAATTAAATAGAGTGGAATGAGCACGCTCCGCCTCTCAGAGTGATTTGTGGCCACTTGGCCCCGGCCCTGCGCCCAGGCGCCAGCCCCGCCCTCCCGGCCCGGGCCCATGGGGACGTTGTGGGGAAGGCACTGTGCATGGAGCACCAGGCTGCTGGCCCCTGGAGAGGGGTCAGCCGCCAGGGCATGCCGTCCCTGCCTGGTCCCTGCCCCCATCCAAAGGTCAGAGACATGCCCTAGGGGCACCGCAATGTCCTCAGGGACAGTTCACTCCACACTTTCCAAAAGCGCCTTCCAGAACCTTCCAGAGAGCCCAGTCCCCTCTTGTGCCCCAGTCCAGCCTGCTTTGCAGCTGTAAGGCGGGGCCTAGCTTAGCCCACACCCAAGAAGGTCACCTTCCAGGCCCATCGGAGCCAACCCCTGGCCCACCACAGCTGAGACCAGAGCAGCCCAAAGAGGGGAGGGCCCAGGTGCCCCCAAAGAGCATGTGCTGGTCCACAGGGCCTTCCCAACCCCACGGGCTGTCATCAGGGCCATGCCCAGCTGGCTGGGGACGCCAGGGACAGGATGCTCAGCTGCCAGCGGGGCTCAGGAGCCGGCCTCAGAGGGTACATCCTCAGTGGCCACGGGGGCAGGGCTGGTTCCGCTCTCCTCAGCAGCTGGGGGGCCCACGTCCAGTGCTGGGAAGTCACTCTGGGGGACACCGTCCTGGGGGGCACCATCGTGGGGGGCACCGTCCTGGGGCACAGGGGGCGTGGGGGTACGGGGAGGCCCACTGGGTGTCGGGGGCACCCGCCGCTCCAGCAGGGAGGCGCTCAGGCCTGACAGGAAGGAGGCATCTGTGATGATGGCAGCCGTCTCTGCCATCCAGCCCAGGTCACCTCCGGCTGCCGCGGCCACCGAGGCCGCCGCAGCCACCAGCGAGCTGGGTGCCACGGCCCCGGCTGCCCCACTGGCACTAGGCGAGCCAGGGCCCAGGGCGGGGGGCTGCACAGTGGGGTGGCCGGGGGCAGCGGCGTTATTGTTGAGGTTGTCCTGCAGCGCCGTCGGGGAGCCAGGGCCTGGGGGGGGCGCGTGCAACAGCAACTCCTGGATGCGCATCTGCTGCAGGATGGCCGGCAGCTCGTAGTGGTGGAAGAAATAGATCATGGAGTGCTGCGGGGCCGAAGGGTCAGCACTGGGTCAGCGGTGGGGCCCCCACCACCGCCGGGCCCGCCCCCACCACTGAGTTCACCCCCCAACCACTGCCCAGCCCGCGCCACCACTGCAGAGCCCACCCCCACCGCTGAGTTCACCCCCACCACCATGCAGCCC